TTACCCAATTGTATGAGAATGCAACAATTACATTGCAAACTAAAATGCATGCATGGAAGAATTCTATGAATCAGAAACCTAGGATTTTGATGTGAACACCAAATGGTTGACAGTTATAAAATCATAAAGATTTTCCTGAATGGGGTATAAGAATCATGGTAGAGATCAGCATTCAACCAAGTGAGAATTTTGATCAGAATGTCAGACTTACTGGCCCCCCATCAACAATGCCCATTGGTGATGCAACTCGAAATGATAATTTCCTTTTTCTGACAAAAATCACTATTGTTGCATATAGTTTCCTTAATGGAGGAGGAACGCAGACTCATTTCCTCCTCTATCTAGGCCCAACTTGTTTGGTTACTCTTTAACACATCTCATTGAAATAAAGCTCTAATAATCATGCAGAATTTTTGGATGGTGCATATTTGTTTGGAAGTCTATGACGAGAAATAAGTACAATTTTCTTCCAGATTTGTCCAAAGTTTTATTAGAATCAAATTTATCCTTTACTACAAAGAACAGTGAGATTTGATGTCCAATGATGAACCGGATCTGAACCAGGAAATGATGTCAGAAGCATGTATAAACCTTGGTGACTGATTCGAAGTTTCAGCCAAGGAAAAGAAAAGGGAAGAGATGAAGGAGAAAGAAGAGATTTTCTGTTGCCAGTTAAGGTAGTTTGCACCAGAAAAAAGAGAATGCAAAAGGAAAAAAATAATGATAAAAAGGAATAAAAGCAAATAAAATAAGATTGAAAGCATGGATGGCTATTCTATGTCAGCTCTCCAAAATATATATTAGCGTTACAAAGATATAGAAGAAATGATTTATTGGATTGTAGAATGAAAACTGAAATAAAATATCCAATTTTAAAGATTCTTGTAAAACAGATAAAAGTAAATTTGAGCTAAAAATTAACTAACACTCAAATTAAAGCTGGTAGGAACTTGGAAATGAACTTTGAACCCTTGAACCCAATTTTTAATTTTTTGAATAATTACACTCTAGGAATTCAAAAGAAGAATCCAATTGAATTGACAAAAAATGTTCTATGCACCAAAACAACATTTAGCCAGAAGAAAACAAAGGGCCTTGTGCAAAAACATATTGAATAAATCTAGCAGCAAAATCACCTTTATGTATTTCTTTCAACTCCAATTCTGCTTGAATAAGATCTGCCTCCTGTGAAAAAGGCGATGCATAAAATCCATGCCTTAAGATGCCAGATTCTTTATGTTCCCCACATATCTGCATGGATGAAACTGCCAAATCATCCATAGAACATAAAATAATATATGGAAATTCAGGAAAAATATATAACATAATGCTCCTAGAAAATAAAAGTACTACAAGTAATAAAGAGAGAATATAATACTACAGAAACATACATCACAGTGGACAACATCATCAAGATTAACCATTGTACAGTTGGTGCAAAACCACTTCATAATCTCCACATGCTTTTGCATAGGCTCCCAATCGCTGTCATCATCGTCATCATCATCATCAAATGCATCTTGGTTGTTGTACATATCCTGCAATGTCAATTCCTTTGACAGCCTTGCCTTTTTCTGCAGATAAACCACATAGAAAATGCAATTAAAAAAAGCACAGCACAGAACCAGACTTCAATCACACTGCTTAATTGAGGAGTTAATCCTTGTATTCTTCTTACACGAACACCATCCAGCTGTGTGTCACCACAATTTAAATTATCTGTCACTTCTCGGCTAGACTTTCCAAGATCCCCTTCATCATTGCCCATTTTATCATAACAACATGCTATGGTGGTTTCATCAGAACCCAAATGTCTTTTTTTACAGGATTGAATGTTATCCGCCTCCCCATTGGTTGCACAACTCACTTGAACTGTTTCTGAGACCATACTTTCACAGGAATTTTTAGATGAAGATTTCTTCAAGAATCAAAGCTCAAACATCTGTCAAAGAAACCAAATGGACACTCAACTTAAACAAAGACATATTACCCAGTAAAACAGAAAATCAGCAGAAGAGTGAAGTAGGTGACAGGGCAGTAAATTTTAAAAACCAGATATAGGTACGGGGTTCTCTCTAGCAAGCCATTAATCCAAACAAAAATTGAAAATTTTTCATAATGCTGTAATGCACCTAACAATGAATCAGGTCACTTGAAAATGAACTGAAAGCAACTACATTAGGATAAAAAAAAATGCACATAGAAAGCAAATATGGCAATTCAAATTCAATACCAACATCTTTTCTGGTTTTTTAGGGGGCTTGTATCGATCATTTTGGAATAAAGGGATTATATATATAAATGAAATCAATAAGAAAAGGAAAAACAAGGAGAATGCATTGTGAAGCAAAGCAGGAAAAAAGGAAAATACACAGAGAGAAAAGAAACAAATCAAGCAGAAAGCATAAGCACTAGTAAGTAGTAACCCATAGCTTAGCATCACCAGATAAATACACTACAAAGACAAAAGCATAAATCTTCCAAGAAAGAAACAAGGAAAATTGGAAATTCCCAGTTCTTAATTCAGATTACTTCACTAAAACCCTAACTTCAGTCATATTTTTCATCTTTAGTTTCAGAATGGGGAAAGACAAAGCTAAGAGCTAACCGATAATGGAGACGAAGATGCAGAGAGGGGAGAAGATGAAAATCGGAATATTGTGAAGGTTCGGAAGTACGACGACGTTACCTGGTTAGGGCAAATCGGAGGGCCTCGAGAAGCAAATTCGGAATTTCTGCGGTAGGAGAGAAGGTGGTACAACCTCAAAACCGTTATTTATATTATTATTCTTATTTTAAATGAAAAAAAAATAATAATAATAATAATAAAGAAGGAGGAAATAATAAATCGAATTACGATTATAGCAAATCGTATTACCATCTTTAACCATCTAAACAAAAGAATCCCGCCAAGGAAACTAATTTTACCTCATTTTTATTTACAACCTTTTGGTGTGATTAAAGTGTTATACGTTTTTTTTTTTATCAATAATAAGTTGATTTTAGTAAAAAATTTTTGATTTTTTTAAATAAAATTTTAAATTCAAATTTATAAATGAAAAAATAATCTATAAAAATTTTAATTATTAAATAATATATAAAATTATATAAAAATTTTGTATCGAATTTTATTACCAAATCATTTTTTTAATGGTCCTTTTTTTTCATATTGCATATGTTTAAATAGGTTAATAAGTATAAGAATGGAGCTGGACCAAGATTTGACGAGAACCACAAAATTGTTTTCTATAATGAAAGAATATGCTACTAAATTTAAAAATAACATATATAGATATAAATTTAATAAGTACTCTCAAATATTATTGTTTACAAAAACTTTGTATAATATTTTCCTCCTCCTCTTCTTTAATCCTATTTTTATTCTTTAAGTTTTATTCTTGCTCATATTTTAATATTTATTCTATATATAATTAAATACTTAAAAATGATGTTCTCATGTATGTTAAAAAAAAATACTTAAAAATGATGAATATGAGTTCAATATAACTTAGTTACTAGATTATTAGTAAAGGAAGTTAATAAATAGTAAAAAATTATCTTATAATGTAATTCAATATAAAAATAAAAACTCATAAAATCCCTTATAAGGGCCTTCGTAATTCACACGCAACACTTAAGAAAAACAAAGTAATTAAGTCAATACCTAAAAGATTTTGACGACTTTGTACCTAATGATAAGATTTTGACTGTTTGTAATTTTATTCATAAACTTCAACGGTCTCTTCCACCAAAATAATTAAATACATTAATTAATGGCAATGCTACGAAAACTAAAATATTTTCTAATATTGTAAATTTATAATAGTAATATAATTTTTTTTAACATGTTATAATTTTAAGGTAGGGGGTTTAAACTTTAATCTTGAAATTGGAGGTGTACTTTTTAATTAGGCGTATAATTATCGAATCATGAATTCAAATGTAATAATATAATATATTATTAAATAAATATACAAAATATTATAAATGAGTAAATCAATAATCAATAATATATTAAATTATAAATTTATGATAATATGAGATGTTATAAATACATTATTTTCAATTATTTTAAAATTAATGATCCGTATATTTCAATTTAGTGATATGAATCCTAAATTAATGACATTAACTCCGTTAGTTATAGTTTCGAGTTCGCACAATCCTCTTTCCTTTATCCCCTTTCTCTTCTCCCGATTATAATCATGTTAAAAAAAATTTATTTTAAGGTTAAGAGCAATAATCAAAACCTCTTTGTAATAAAGTAATTAACTCTCTCAAATGTTAATAAAAAAAGAGGGAGTTAAGTTATGGGGGCAACTTAGTCCTAACAGTGCCATAGTTTTTTTTTTTCTTTTTCTTTTTTTTTTTGTCTGTTTTTTATTTTGTTGAGTTTTGGGCCCATTATTGGCGGGGCGGGGCGGCGCGATGTGATTTTCCAAATCTTTCAGGGCATTTTGTATTCTTCTTCTTCTTCTTCTCCGAACGGCGGGATGATACAAATAGATCCTTCGAAGTGCGGCCGTTAGGACCCCTGTTGTCGTTCTTCTTCTCAGGAGGTAAAGCAGCAACAAAGCGCTCCTGATTCGGTATCTCTTGGCCGCTAGGTGATCGGCAGCTTGTGGTTTGAGTGAGTAGCATTCTCAGGGTGCTTCTGCGGCGACGAAAGTGGACCACGTAGCTTGTCCTCGGACTTCGCGTTGGGCTCTGAGCTAGTCCACCACTTTGCGCTGCCAGCAGCTCGAATTGCTGCAACGTCGCCATTTCCAGGTTCGCTTTCTGCTTCCTTTCTCTGAAAATTGTGATGTAGAGTATATTTATAGAATTTGGTGAAGTGGAATGCTACTATGAAGTGTGAGGTTTGCGTCTGCGGGAGAGAAAAGGATCAGAGTGAAATGTGATTTTCTAAGTCTTTTAAACCTGAGCCGTTGGATTTCGGGTTTAGATTAGGGTGAATTTTGAAGGATCAGAGTGACCGAGTGAAGAAGCCACCCCTCTTGGCCTTGAGACGAAATTAGAGAGAAAAAAAGGGTAGAATCGGAGAGGAAAGAGTCAATCTGCTGTCGAGTTCAATTGAGCAAGCTGGAAGACTAATGCCACATATGATTATTTCTTGTTCGGAATGCTTTGATTCACATTATGTTCCATTTTAGCTAGTTTGTTGATTCTCTGTATGCAATTCATTTTCTTAACTAGGTTTTGGGGTTCCCTTGTTGTTTAATAATGGAGGCAATAATAAAGAAATATCAGCAAAGTTTCAGAAAGGTTAAAGAAGAAATGGATCGATGGGATGAGCTTCAATCTCGCTTGATATCTCAGTTTACAAATGCTTCTTCAATAATTGGGAGACTACAGGTGAAGTTTATATTTGGGCTTTTTCTCCTTTGATTTTTTTTTTTTTTAATATTTTTTGAGTTTCTGAATTTGTATTCTTTTCTTTGATTAGGCTATTCAAAATTCTAAAAACTATGGGAGTTTAAATTCTATTGAAGGAATTGAAGTTGCAGTATTGCAAAAGCAGATGGATTCTTTGCAAAGCATTTTGCTTTCTATGAAAAAGACAATGTAAGTCTCTTTTTATGAAATTAAGAATTTGTTGTCCTTAAAATTTTTATATCTTTATCGAAGTTTGTAGAAATTTTCAGGGAGGAGTTTCATTGCATTGTTTTGTCACTTGAGAAGATTCAACGTCAAGGTAAACAGCTAGTTAAAGGGGGTTCAAATCAGCCAACCAAGAAACAACTGCAACTTAAAATTGGTGTTAAGCCTTCTCTAGCAGATTGCTTGGATGGGCTTGTGCTTCTCCATGAATTGCACCATTCTGAGTTAGGAACTCTCCCATCCCAAATGTTTAGGGCAGTCTGCATTGTGTTTTTATCTTAACTTGGATGGGTTTATTGTTGCTAATTGTCATTCGAATTAACCTTTTTTATAGTCCTACAAGTGGCTACTTGTATTTCATTTGGTTTCTTTATTCATGGGTAGGGCTTTCAACTTGATGAAGTTTTAGGTTTGCTTTGATTAGCACACAGGTTAATATTAATCTATTTCAATCAATCAGTGGATGATCTCTCTTGTTTTGTCCAGGTATCTTCTTAAATCATCATTGGTTTTTGCACTTTCAACGCTCGCTGTGAAGCCTGAGTAAGAAAAGTTTCTCACCTTGTCTCCTTAACTTGCCTCTATATCCAGTCATATCAGACATTAAACACAGTATTGTGTTTCTATCATAAGTTTTCTCCGTGGTTCTGGAGTAATTTTTAATGTTTTGTTTTCATTATGTATCATGGCATTATCTTTCAGAAAATGTATTCAGAAAAAGACTTAATTACCATTGTGAAACTAAAATTCTTTCTTGAGTTTTGTAACCTCCCTTCTCCTCTTTCTTCTAATTGTTTATTCTCTGTGCTTGGAAAACTTTATATACATATGTTTCTCTTTTTAATTTTTGCATGCCTCTGTTTATCATGTACATGTTTATGTTACTTAGTTGTGTTTGCAGCCTTTAAATTAATTTGTTATAATTTATAAAAAAAAAAAAAAAAAAGCTATGGTTTATGCATTCTATATTTAGGATTTTTTATTGTAGTCCAATCGTTTGGTTTTGTAGTACCAGTGATTTAGTGGCACTAAATCAAATTTTGGTTGATCAGCCCAATATACCCAAAGAGGAAGGTGCGTAGTGGATAAATTTGTCCTTGTCTACTATATTTGCAGCATTTCATCACTTACTTATTTATGAATAGTTAATAAAAATTTAATTATTTTTCCATACAATCTGATCAAACTGGAAAACTTGTTCTTGGTGTAATGAACCAGAGAATTTTATATCCTGCAGAGACGCTAATGGGTAAAGAAAGTGCAAGCTACACGTATCACCTCTAAAGTGCAAAAAGACATTTTAAACAATAAAACAGATAATGGCAATAAATAAACAGCAGGAAGTTGCATTTACAAGAGTATTTGAGATATGTAGTTCTATTAGTTTTTAGAGGAAACACTTGCATTGTAAGAATGTGGAGATATATGTTTATTGGAGGGAAAAATATTGGAAAACATATAAATTGAAGAGACGACCATTTCTATATTTCAGTAAGCTTCAAATGGTGAATCTTAATCTCAGTTATCTATATTCAATCAAATATACATTTGAATACTATTGTGTCTCTTTTTAGCTGCAGATTACAATCATGTCATTGAGTTGAACTTTCTTCTTCTTCTTCTTCTTTTTTACACAAGTATCTTAGCTTCAAACTTTTGCTCATCATTAATTTTCTCAAGTTCTTTGTTATTTTTTTGTCTTGCAGTTGAAAACATCTTTGAAATCATATTTGCAGAAGAGATATGCTGAATTCTCTGTATCTGCTGAAGGGAACCTTTTGATAAACAATATCTCGAAGAGGTATGGTACATAAATTGAGGCAATGGTTTTTTCCATCGAAATTATGCTGATACCATGATTGCCCCGTTCTGCTAGAAGGCTGCAGCTATACAGATCCAACTCCTTCTCAGGTGTGCCGTACTTAGCAGATGATTTCTCTTTGGGAAGGATGGGGTTTGATTCTAACAACATCAGTCCCTCAGATAACTTAATATTCAGTAGTTATATTTTGCACACTGAGAAACTAGTCAAAGCTGAACAAACTTTTTCCAAACGAAGTTGAACACATGACACCACCTAAATTTTTGGGACAAAACAGGGAAAAGTTGTACTGGCAAAATTTTTGCTCCTGGAGAAAAATTGGTTTTGCTGATCTGCTCACAGTCACACCTCTTCTGATGAATGCTGCATTATACCTTGGTCTAAATGCTTTTCCTGGTAATAGATATCAGAAATGGGTTGTCCAGTCTAGCTCAAGTGGATCACCCTAACGTGTCTTACATATGCAATTATTTAGACTGAACTTGTCTCAAATTGGTTTCCAAGAGATTTGAATTTGCTTGGTACCTCATGTCTCAGCATAAAATACAAAGACTTACGAGATGTCATTTTCTTGTTAGTTTGAATATATCTTAATCTTACGTCGTTTTGGAGATATATCATCATATTAAACAAAGTTGATTTACCTACAATTTTTTTTATATAATATTTATAAAAAAATGATTGAGATATAAATTTTTAATATAAAATTTAATATAATTTTAAATGTTATTTAATAATATAAAAATATATAAAAATTATACCCATATTGTTACTCATATTTATATGGCGTCCAAACTGAGTGCATATTGATTAATACTAATTTATCAATTAGGAGATCATTCCCTCTCTTTTAGCAGTGATCATCCTTTAGAAAGATATTTTTTCGTAGGAGGAGAATAATAGGGACAAATTCTTTTATACTACCCGTTTATTAACATAACAGCCCCTTAGTATGTGTGTTCTCTATTTATAATTAAAAATGTTAATTTATTATAATTTATTAGTTAATTAATAATTATAAATGAAAGTCACATAGACTAATACATCGCTATATTAATAAATACTCCATAAAAATATCACCAACTTGCTATCCTATTGTAAGCGAAATCACATATATTAATTGTTTCCTCTAAAATTCTCCTCTTGTTTACTCATGGCAAAAATTATTCAAGTGTGTCACTTTCTTTGCTCAAAGCAAGAAAAAAGGATTTTTGTCTGCTTCATTCCTTTCAAGCGTTGAAACTTATTTAAAAGTTAATGGAAGAACATCATTTAATTGAATGATTGCATGAATAATATCTTCACCAAACGATTGTAGCAAAAACAAGAGTGCATTCTTGCATAAAGATTTATAAATAATTGTCCTAAAAGAACCTCAAGGATTTTTTATGTTTGAGGCCATAATGAAATTAGCTTATTAAGCAAAATAGATAGAAATAAGAAAAAAAGAGAAAGAGTGCATGATAAAAATAAAGGATAATCTAAGACTAAAGTAACAAGAAAACATTAAACTAAAGAGTGCTAGAAATCTTAGAACTTAGGATTATAAACCAAGAGTACTGATAGAAATGTAAATTGAAGCGGGCAAAACACAAAAGACTAATTACTGACAGAAATGAAATAGAACTAAGAACTAGCTACTAATAGAAATGAAATGGAACTAAGATTTTTACTGAAAACTTAAGAAAAATTAATTACAATTAGATGCTAAAACATAAATTTGCAAATAAAACAAAAAATAAATCTAGACAACTAGATAGAAATGTGAGTTGTGCTTGTAGAAGAAGAGCAACCACGTTAAATTTAACTACTAGAGTTAACTTCACAAAAAATAATGAAAATAAAAAACCCATTGAGGAAGTTAAATCTCTTATACACTAATAAGAAAATTGCAAAGTTGTTATAGGAGTTGTTGATGAACTAAATTAGCACTAAGCTAAACTATATTAAAATTTAGATGTTGTTGAGAGTGATAGGGCTGTAAACTGGAAATTGTGCTGAAAAGTTGTATTTATAAGCCTCTACAACAAAAACAGTTGTCAAAAATCTAATTTAATCATGATTTTTTCCTACTTCCCTATTATTATACTCGACTAATTAAATCAAATGAGATTCCAACAACTTTGAATTTTTTTTGCATAACAGACTTATCACATTATTTAGTTGTCAAAAACAGAGCTCTAATTATTAAAAATCCTTAAAATCAAATTCGCTGGAACTATTTAAGATTTCTCTCAACTAAACTAACTTATTCAGTATCATAGTAGCAACTTACTTTGACGTTATGAAACAGCTAAGCTCCTCCCTTTAATTTTTACCACATAATAGAAATTCATTATACTAAAACTTTTTTTATTGTAGATTGTATTTTATCAAATTATGATTATTAATCATCTTTTAAATTTTAACTGTGTATAAAATCGAGCCTCCAAGCTCAATAATTCATGTCTAACCTTCATATTTGGATTTAATTAATCAAAAATTAAACTCTCACCAATAACTCAAAAAAAAAAAAAAAATCTGCCATTCTCCAAAATTTCCCTCATATTCAACAAAAAAAAAAAAAAAACCTTTGTATGAAAAAATTGTGATCATTAAATTTTCTTTAAAAACACTAACATTATAAAAAAAAAGTTAAAACTTCATTTTGGTCCCTGAATTATTATATGGACCTCCAATTTGATCTTTCAACTAAAAAAATTCTTAATTTAATCCCTACTGTTTACTGATTTTACCCCAACTTGTTCCTTCCATTAAAAATTCAATGATGTGTCCCGTTAACTAACAGGGAAATGATGACGTGTCAAAATATTACGACACATCAATACCATGTCATTAAAACACGTCAGATTTCAACCAGTAAAAAAAAATAAAAAGTGGGGCTCACCTTCTGCCAAAATCACTATCTTCTCTCCTCCTTCCCATTCAAACCCTAGAAGAACAGAGGGTAAACACCAACAGCTGCCGTTGGGTTCTTGGAACCTAGTAGGCTTGGGTTTTTCGAACCAGCACCTAGGTTCCTTCGAAGAACCCAAGCATGGGTTCGAAGAACACAGGTGCGGCTTCATCAAACCCAGGGGCAAAAAATTTTTTTAAAAATTTGTTTTTTTTTTTTGTGGGTTTGATTGTTTGATGATGATGAAAAATCAATTGATGATGATGAAGAATTGATTGATGAAAAAGAAGAATTGATTGATGAAAAAGGCAAAGCAAGGAAGAGGAAGGAAAAAGAAAGGGCGCTTGGTGGGTTCGATCAAGTGCTAGGTTTGTTTGTTGGAGGAAAAAGATGATGGTAAAATTATAATTTTGATGGGTCTCACTTTTTTGTGTTGAGGCAAGAAAATGACATGTCATATTGCCATGTCATCATATTGCATTTGTACAGCTGACGTGTCTCAAATTTTTGACATGTCATTGAAGTTCTGTGAGGTAACGATGGGTTTTTAACGGAAGGATCAAGTTGGGATAAAATCAATAAATAATAAAGACTAAATCAAAGATTTTTTTAATTTAAAGATTAAATTAAGGGTCCGTATAATAGTTTATGAACTAAAATGAGATTTTAACCAAAAAAAAAAAATCAAATATGATATAAACAGTAACATATCACTATAATGAAAAATAAAAATGTCAGTTCACCTTGATATCCTATTGCAAGTAAGAAAATCTTGAGATGAATTCCAGTGAAGGAAGGAAGCGGGGCTAAAGAATGGGTCCCATGCGGCTGGGGCTTGGCTTTGAAGTTGAAACGCAGACAAATGAGGTGCGGGCCATTATTAAAGTCATAAAAGGATTAGATTACCACGTGGGGGACTGCCAATTGTCCGCTGTCTGTCACTCTGTCAACTGTCAAATGTCTACTCTAACTGTCCCCAAAGCGGCACAATCCCCCACCATCCACGCGCTTTTTTTTGACGTCCCTCTGTCCTACCCATTAAAGCCCCAACTGGCCGTATCATTAAGAGCTAGTGTTTGCTAAAACTTACTCTAAAGGGTTAAAGTTTTTTATTTTAATAGTTTTAATTTTTTTTAATTTTTATGTATAAAATTTAAGTAAAAATTT